AGATATCCAATTTTGACCAGACCTTCCTACACCGAGCTGACATTACCGCCATAGGATTAAGGAAGTCGCAACGATTTCAAGGCGGTGTGCTTCAATACAACGAGCATTGAGAGGGGGAAAAAGGATGACAGTTCAAAGCGAGGTTATGATAACTAGGATAATCATCACCCTTTAGAAGCGCGCGCGTTCGATCCTTTCTAATTTTTGCAAAATGCGGCCCCCTCGCAAGTTTTCCTCGCCTGGTATGGCCCATTCCTCAATCTACCTACCAAGCTTCTGGTTTTTCCAGCTTCCTTCCATTTTTTTTCTATCTCAAGACAGTATTTCGTTGGCATTCCGCTAGTGTTCTTGTCATTTTTTCTATAAATTTCTCCGCATTCCCCCAATAAACTACCGTTGAGTGAGGGGGTATATAGTGCACAATTAAAGCAGTAAACAACAAGAGCAGTCAACAACCGAGAAATACTATGTATATCGTTTCTCTCAAAAGGCCGATACGACCCCCTCCTTCCAGCGACCAGTTATGACCCCTCCATAGCTGGGATCTGCATGCACGACGTGACTTATTTTGAGCCAACCTCGTAGGGACATGCTAAAAAATTGATGACCAATACAGTATTTCGCTGACGTACGGTTTCGCCACTGTTCTTGTCTGATCTCAGTGCCCCTTTGGACAAAATTGCTCAAGATATTGATCACAAGTTTATCACTCATGCTCAGGCAACCCCGAACTGGACTTCCCCCATGCCCCAGTCTCCCCTTTCCCTGAACTGCAATCCTGTCTACCTCTTTATCATTCACACTAACCATCTAATAGTTGTGGCGAAAGACTGGCGGTGAGCGTTAAGCGTCACGAATTACTGTACGCTGAAGCGATTGTGCTATCGTAAAACTGATCTCGCAAAACAAGTGATTGTGCGATTATGTTGTAAAGAGAATGTCCACGTTCTATCGATAAGATACCGTAGCCATCACTGACGATTACATTGGCTCAGGTAAATCGCTGCGGTCGCCCTGACGCACATCGCGGTACGCCTTTA